AGTTAGATATAAGACTCTTAAAACCTTTATAGTAGTAGTTTATAAGAATAATCTTAAGCTATATCTAGTAGATATAGATAGTGCATTTATAAATAGTTACCTAAAGGAAGACATCTTTATAATAGTACTTAAAGGGGTTAATATTACCTTAGGATATATTTTAAAAATCCTAAGAAGCTTATATAGACTAAAGCAAGTAGTAAGAGACTAGAATTAACTCTATATATTAAAGCTCCTTAGTCTTAGATTTATTTAGTCTAAGGTAGATCTATACCTTATATACTATTATAGAAAAGAACTTATAGTTATAACTTATATAAATAACATTCTAATTACTAGAAGATTAATAGATTCTATAAACTAGTTTAAGAAAAATTTTAGAAAGATCTTTAATATTAAGGATCTTAAGGAACTATTAAGGATTTTAGGGATAAATATAACTAGAGATAGGAAATATAGAACCCTAAAGCTTAACTAAGAACACTATATCCTTAAGAGCCTTTAGAAACTTAGGATAGATATAAAGTTATTAAAGCTAACTCTCTTACTAATAGATAGTTATAAGGGACTAAAAAAATCTAGCCCAGATAATAAAAGATATAGTAGGGAAGAGTACTAAATAATAATTAGGACTTAGATATAGCTTATAATTATTATAAGGCTAGATATTACATTTGCTATTAGAAAGCTAAGCTTCTTTTTTAGTAATCCTTCTAAGAAATATATAAGAGCCCTAAAGAAAGTCTTAAGATACCTTAGGTTAAATCTAGATCTTAGAATTACCTTCTTTAGGGATAAACTAGAATTSCTAACTAGATACTTAGACTTAGATTTTGCTATAGATAAATCTAATAGGAAATCTGTTCTTAGAAATGTTTTTATACTTTATAATAGACTAATCTTATAGATAAGCAAGAAGCAGAAATCTATAGCTACCTTAATAATAGAAACTAAGTTTATAGCAATAAATACCTATATAAAATAATTATAATTCCTCTTATCCCTTCTTAGAGAAATAGGTTAAGGAAATTTAATTAGATTATCCTCTTTTTAACTAAAGATTAAGGCTAGAGAGGAAATGTTAAATAAGCTTAGACTAGTTCGTCTTTTTAGGGACAACTAGGCTTACCTAATACTAGTAAAAGATGCTTATATTTATAAAAGGTTAAAGCATATTAATATTATATATAACTTTATTAGAAGACTTTAGTAGGAAAAGAAAATTTCTATAGAATATCTTCTAATAAAGGAGATAATTATAGATAGGTTAACTAAGCTATTAAATAGACCTAGCTTTTAGACTTTTATAACCTAGTTAAGACTCTAGTAAATAAGAGGAGAACAAAGGGCAAAAAGGGTAGTATCTCCTAAACTAGGTTTTAGTCTAGGAGATATTATATACTAAGTTAAGAAATTGTACTAAGATAGTAGCTAAGATAGAACTATATCTCTAGGCTATAGGACTACCTTTCTATACTTAATAGAATCTATAAAAATGTAGGGAAATATATTTAGCCCTTTCTTCCCTAAGTAGAAGTGTTAAAACCTAATAGGTTTAGAAAGGGAAGAGAGCTTAAAGTAGAATCTACTCTAAGGTAATTCCCTAGTTAGGTAATTAGGATGCATAGGCTAAAGGCACATACTTATTCTTAATATTCAGTTCTTAAGATAATTAATTTAATTAACACACTTGTTTAGTTCCTACTTTAAGTGCTATGCACCTTATAATAAATTAGTTTAAGATTAGAGTCTCTTATCTTACCCTTTGCCGCTATATCCTACTACCTCCCTAGCCTCTAGTTTTGGATTTTTAGTTAGACAATTTTAACATTAAGTACCTTTATACCGCCGTAATAAGAGAATTATTCCTCTATTACGCGCTTTTCTTCCTCTAAGAGCCCTATATAATTATCTTAGAGGAGGGAAAGTAAAAAGAATTAAAACCGAATTTTACTAAGTAATCGCTCTACTTAAAACCAAATCCTACTTAGGTACCTTTATACCGCCGTAATAAGAGAATTATTCCTCTATTACGCGCTCTTCTTCTTCTAAGAGCCCTACTTCTTCGCTAGCTTCTACGGCGACGGAGGGGGAACGTACTCTACTATACTATTCGCTAATACTAGTACCTTTACTATTCTCGAACTACTTCTACTTATACGGGCCCGCTCTAGTACCGTCTCGGTCTCCGAATTTAAGTCGCTAAAGTTCTACTAGTCGTTATCGTACTAGCTAGCCTAGTCTTAGAACTTATAATTTCCGTAATACTTATAGAATAAACCGGCCTATACTATATAATCCTATTCCTATTAGTTTTAAATTATTATATAGCTAAAAGGTAGAGGAGACAAACCTTAAAGTGCCCTTTTCCCTCCTAGTATAACTAATAACGCTCGTTACTATTCGGACTATTATTATTCTAAATAGCCCTACTTTAAATATGTTAGCTACGCTACTTAGATATTAATTTCGAGCGATTATACTAACCGACTCTAGATAATTAGAGCTACCGTATAAGAGTAACGATACTTAAGCGTTTTGCTAGGGTCGAACTCTAGATCCTTAACTTCGAAGCGATGCCTAGTATGTTTATTTATTACTTTAATTAGCTCGCCGGTTATAGGGAAGCCTTATGTTTTAAGCTATTTTATACTAGTTAGTCCGGCCGTCGCAAAGCTTATATTTAATTGTCTAACTCTTACCTTGTTTTAGCGGGCGTCGAGCTAAGTATAGTAAGTATTATTATCGTTAATTAAGAACGCTAGAAGTCCGCTAGGGTTAAATCGTCGTACTATAATCCCGTTATATAGGGTAGCTTAGAGGAAGGAAGAGGTATTAATATAATATAGAAGTAGTAGTAGATATAATAGATACCGTAAGATAGGGGTAGATAGTTAGGAATAAAGAAGTTTAGAGAGAGGGCTTTATATAGAGCCCGACACTTACGTTAGTATATATAATTATAAGTAAGGGCTCCTATAGCTAATTAGATAAGTAACTTACTAAAGTAATTAACGACGTATTATTACCTATAGTATAGTATATAAAATTACGGTCTTAGGACCTTTACTTTCTTATACGTAGATAAGGCTCCCCGCGGCGAAAGTAGACGTATAATATATAACGAGCAAGGTAGTATATTAAGAGGACTACGAGACTAATATTTAGAAATGTCTTATACTTAAAATAGAGCAGAGTAAATAAAAAACTAAGTAAAAAGAGCTAAAATTCCTAATATATATATAGCCGCTCCCTCTAATACAAATAGCTATATAATATATCTCGAGCATTAGCCTATACTTAGTAGACTTAAAGTCCCTAACCCTTAAAAAAAGTATATCTAAGCAGAGAAAGAAAAACCTAAGAGAAAATCCTAAGATACGAAGCTAGCTTCGCTCTTAATATTTAACCTACTAAAGGTACTATTATACTACCGGAAAAGAGGTTCCGAACCTCTATTACTCGCTAGATTTGCTCGTAGAAGCCTTACTACCTACCTTCTTTCCCTTATTCTTAGCTTCGCGAGGGAGCCGTATACTAGAGTACTAAGGCTACTAGGTACTACTTACTATATCGGAGTTAGAGCTTATATTAGTTATACGGGCGTATATTACGTAGCGCGTATTCTCGGTATTCGTAGTATACGCCGTCCTTATACTATTCTAAATGTAATTTCCGTAGGCTCTATTAAGCGCCTCCTCCTATATACGACAACCCTATATTCGTTAGTATTTTATATATATTATATAGCTAAAAGGAGGAGATAAACCTCCTATAGCCCTAGTCTAGCCCGCCGCTAGTTAGTATTTAGTATTAGTCTACCCTCGTAGGCGGAATAGGCTTCTTCCTTCTTAGTCCTACTTTAACTTAGTTAGCTACGCTACTTAGATCTTAATTTTAAGTAATTATACTAACCGGCTCTAAATAAGTATCGAGTCGATATAGTTCTTACGGTCTCGGAGCGTATTCTACTTTCTCTAATCCTAGGTAGCCCTAATATCTACATCTTATTCTTTATCCGCCTATATTATCTTAATCTAAGCGGCATTTATACGTATATCGCTATTCGTAAGCTATTATATAGGTTAGTCCCGTATATATAACGTCGCCGTCTATAAGTACTTATATTATCTCTATATACTACTAGCGTATAGAAGGGGTTTTTATTATCCGGTAGGTGCTAAAGCTCCGTATAATCTATATCGCTAGGGCCGAATACCTTAGGCTCTCGTACTATTATATAGCTTAAGAGTAAGGGTATAGTATAAAAGTAGTAGATAATATATTAGATAGTATATATTAGATAGTATAGTAGTAGGTAAGATACTAAGGGAAGAGATAGGAAGGGAAGAGAAACACTTATATCTTACTATTACGCCTGTTACCTATATAATAGGTTATATAAGACGTTAAATACGTATACCGGATATAAAGTGTCGCGTAGTAAAGCGAGTAACTTTAATGTTTAGCGGACAAGAAGCATATAATATTAAGTAATAAAGGTAATATACGTATACGCATTATTATATTAATAACATGCATTTATACGGCCGAGATAACTATATAATACCGAGGCTCGGATTACCACACCGCCGGCGTAGTGCTACACTAAAAATAGGATTGTTGTAGCCCTGTGGCTAAAACACCACCGTACCCCGACCCGCAAATCGACTGCCCGCTTGTCCCAACCGGGGACTGCGCGACTGCTGTGCTACTGCCAATCCTCCGTCCGTTCGGTGAAGCCGTTCGTGGAGAAAGCACGATCTGAGACTATTCGGCCGCACTTTACCTCTGATTAGCACAACACGACCTACAAACACGTTGTTTGTACTGGTCCACCGAAAACTACCTACGAGATCGAAGCCACCCGACGACAAGCGCGGCGCGGCGAGGACCGACAGGCAACCCCGCGCTCTACCAGGAACCCGCGAAACGTAAACAGTTTAAGCTCTGATAGGGCGGATAGCTGCACGGGTAGGCCAGGACCAGGTCTCTCCACGATGGGCCTCTTCTCTCGCAAGCCCAAGGCCGAGAACAACCCCAACAGTGCTACGAATTACAGAAAGACATTCGCCATGATGCGCACCAACAGCACCGACATGCCTTCGTCTAAGTCGAGCTTGCCGGATGTACCTTTGCCCAGAGCTCCCGACCCCAATGTCGATCCTCAAGGTTATCTTCGCAGCATATATGCCGTGCGGGAACGAAGCAAACTGGTCTTCGATAAAGGCAAGCGGAATCAGCTGCGACATTTCAACGTCGACATGTCCAAATTTCCCGACACGGCCCACTACATTGTGTCCATCATCAAGGTATTGTTTGCTGAATTAATGGGTTGATCTGGCGTGAGCAGTGCTGAATAGTGACGACAGCGAGACTTTGAGCCCGACTACCACAAGATCCCTCCGCACGGCCGATGGCAACACTTCGAAGTGGGTGGCCGACCGCGGGTTGATCAGCTCATGCAGTCCTGGCCCAGCACAGTTGATGCTCACGAACGAACACGACGATTGATCGATCTATTCCTCGTATCCGTGCTACTTGATGCTGGAGCGGGAACCAAATGGCAATACCGGTCCAAGGAAAGCGGCAAGGTGTACAAGCGAAGTGAGGGTCTGGCTGTCGCCAGTCTCGAAATGTTCAAGATGGGGATGTTCTCAAGCGATCCAGATCAGCTGTTCCAGGTCGACAGCGTTGCATTGAAAAAGCTCACAACGGAGCGTATGAGCAAGGGACTGCAAGTTACAGATGATAATCCAATCGATGGGTTGGAAGGTCGGACAAACCTCTTGATTCGTTTGGGGGATGCATTGTTGAATCAGGAGATATTCGGGCCCGAAGCTCGGCCAGGAAACATGCTGGACTATCTGCTATCGCATCCCACCACGCACATGAGCACAGTGCCGATCATTCCTCTGCCAACACTGTGGAACACTTTGATGAATGGACTGGCTGCGATCTGGCCAAGCACACGAACACGGATCAATGGCGTAGCACTTGGAGACGCATGGCCTTGCGGATCAATGCCATCACATCCAACTCAACCCTGGGAGAATATTGTTCCTTTCCACAAACTAACTCAATGGCTTACATACTCATTGATGGTTCCCATGCAGAAGCTAGCAAATGTTCACTTTGTGGGCGTGGAACTAATGACAGGCCTGCCGGAGTATCGGAATGGAGGATTGCTTGWTGACACAGGTCTCCTGACTCTCAAGCCCGAAGACGCCAAACGAGGACTCGAGCAATACCAGATGAACTCAACAAGGCAAGGGCAACCTAACGTGGAGGTTGTGCCTTTATTCACTGCTGATGACGATGTCATTGTGGAATGGCGTGCCTTGACGATTGGATTCTTGGACGAGCTGCTTGTTGAGGTCAATCTGTTGCTCGGACTGTCTGGTGACGCTAAGCTTAGCCTAGCACAAATGCTAGAAGCTGGGTCGTGGAAGGTACCAACGCCGAATCTACTTCGGTTGTGATGAGTCAATACTAATCGACTCAACAGGGCGGAAGGGAGATTGCTGAAGTGTMCCGGCCGAACACGAAGGAGCCTCCCATCATGATTCTGTCCGACGGCACAGTCTTCTAGATGTCTTCTCTGTTCGCAGGGTGTAAGTGCAATCTCACAACCGACCACATGATGGGCGCTAATGGTACATTCCTTGACAGGGGATCATGATACTCCAATGTGGGATGACGGCATCGCAGATACGATGGTTTGGAATCAGCACATTTCGACTCATCTGCATGTCAAGGGGCTGGTCGCACAGGACAAGCGGCCGAGCAGCGAGACGGTTCTGCAACGGCCTCAGGGTATGAATCCGAATCCACTCAAGGCTCCTCCGGTAAGGCGGACCAGTCTTGGGAGGCCAAGCTAGCAGGCAAGTGCCTGCAGCTTGAGGGAGAGTCCGTAGTAATGTTTAATGCGCAGTGGAGGAACTTCAACTTAACACAGCAGAAGATCAAGCGCATACCTCGATGAGCGACGCTGTTGGAGAGGGAACCAATGGTGTCTGCAGTGCGCCCAATGAATTCTCCGCAGACATTGGACCGTGCGGCTTTCCTTCGATGGGTGCAACTTGCCCAAGAACTCTCACCGCGTGTTGTCATGACGAGTGCTGCCCTTCAAATCTGAACCTTGGTGCTTATTCCATCAACGCAAGTTTCACTTGGCTAAAAGTGTACATTCAAAGTAAAGCAGTTCTGTTGCTCTCTATACAAAAGCCAAGGCCAATGCAGAAACCACGCTCAGTCCCACAACAGTCCATCCCGACTGGTTGACCTTCTTGTTCGTAATCATCTTCGCCGTGTCCCAAACCAAATGCCTCACACCGTTGAAAGAATGGAAAGTGAATGGCAGTGCCACAATCATTTTGGTGGCCACCTGCAAGAACATTGGCCACGCAGCGAAGCTGGCCGCAATGACTGCCGACTCCAAGTGCCATCCGAGGGTAGGAGCGATCAAATAGAGACCACCAAAGGCGTAGAAGGCACCACTGACGGCACAGCCAGTGATTCGGTTGAGGGCGGAGAGGTACCATGTGATTTGTGGTTTGTAGATGGCGAGATGGGGGGCGACGGGGCGGTTCAGGCGCTGTTTTCCGAGGATCGTGCTGCGGGCTTCCTCGGGGGAGATCTCCGCGCGGGCGGCGACTTGTCTAAGGGGGTATGTTAATGATGAGGTTGGATGTTTGGGAGGAGGAGCTTCACTGACCTCCGCTGGACCTTGTTGAAGGCCGCGCCAGTCGCGACGGCTGCTGGGGTCGCGATTCGGAGCGCATTGGGCTGGGCGGCTACTGCGAGAGGTGGTCAGTGATGTTCCCTTGGATAGGTAGGAGATCACGTACACCGCCGGAGCGACTGCTGGGTGAGTCTCTGCGCCAACATGGTCGTGGTTTGCTGGAGTGGAGTGCTGGGGGAGTGTTGATCAGATGTCGAAGTCGATGTCGTTGATGCACCCGCCTCGGCAATGAGTTATTCCCGCCTGATCTAACCAATGAGGAACGGGCTAAGGTAATTCACCTTGCCATTCCAACATATTCTATCCCCAGAGTGATATCTCGTGGTTCCTTCAGCACTATGGATTGCTTTTGAACGACGAGCATTCTCCATCGATTGCAGTAGTCATGCCGTGTGAACAGGAAGATCAAGGCCCAAATGAGTGCGTTCGTCGCCTGAGGACACAAGCCAAGCGCACGGACTCCGCTTGAGTCTTGGAGCTACCTCAAATTTCTTCGCTCCGAACTTCTTCTCCTCTTCTTCAATTCAAGAATCTCCCACACCGTCTGGACTCACGGCTGAAGGCGCGGCGAGCATCCACGACAGGGCGTTATGCTCTGTCTATGGGTGCGCCGAGACTCTGAGACCAACAAGCCCGTCGTTAATCACTCGCTTTCGTCCTTCATACGATTAAGAGCTTCATATCAGGGCGACAATCTTCCTTTTCATATATCATTTCACCATCTGACACTTGCGGATGCTAAGTGGAGATTGAAAGACGGATGTCCATTTCGTAGCATCCCTGCCTCTGGACCACCAATGATTAGTGAGAGAACAGTTGGTGTGGGAATGCCTGACTCGCGCGTCAATCACCCTGTTTGGCTCTGCGCACTGTGCATCTGCTATATATACAGCATGTTAGATTGTCTGGTATCCAGTGCCAGCGGAGGTCTGGCAAAATCTATGCTGAGAGCGAGCATCAGACTTACGCCACCGACAGCTGTCGAGACAGATCTGAGCAGGTACCGTTGACTACATGAAACCTAGAAATTTCTCACACACCGCGCTGGAACAGGGCATCTATATCCGGTACACGAAGAGCTTCATCATGCTACCGCGCTATTCAGATTCCAAACAAGGTAGCGGTGCACCGTGCAGGCAAGTCTGAGCAGTGTGCAACAGTTCTCTATATAGAATCGTTGCTCTCACAATCTACAACATACCTCCCATTCAGCTCAAGCGACTCTTTCCTCTGCTGACCACTCCATCCGAGCATGGAAGCTGCAGCTCGAACAAAAGAYACCGCATGGCCGTTGTGCAGTCGTGGTTCCAATCGTTTGAGTCGCAGATCGAAGTCACGTCCTAGGAGCCTCAAGCGAGACAGAGCACAATCGACGTCTGCGAACAAGTCAGMCGAGCAACCGGGCTTTCTTCAACAAGTACAGACACTCCAAGGCGCAGTCGGCAACATGTCGAACACCCCCGAGCTTCCCGAAGGGAGAATGAGCACTGTTCCACCGAAGCGGCCTGCCACGGCGGGTCCGGACAGAGTCAACAGACCGGACAGAGTCAACATAGCTGCGAGCCCACTCCCAATGTCCCACAGTCCTGCACCCATGATCGAGCCTTTCGCTCTCCCGAAGCCAGCTCTTCCCTTTCTCCGAGACATTCCTCAGACCCCCTCCGACCCAAATCATTCGATCCAGCACACAAGCACGCTCTGGCAGTACTATCTGGACAAGGTGGACCCGATTTTGAAAATTATCGACACATCAGCCGTTCAACACTTGTTCATATCTCAAATCTCCTTTGCGGACATTCCCAAGGATTTACAAAGCTTAAAGTCAGCAGTCTTGTTTGCGGCCGCATCAAGCATGCAAAGACCACTAGGCACCGCCTGCCCAATCGCAGACGCTCTCATGGAGAAGCACGCTCGAGAGACCGAAGAGTTCCTCGCTGCATCTCGCTTCATGGCTCAACCAACGATCGTGTCTCTTCAGGCGCTGACGATATATCTGGCATGCGGAAGTCGTAGTCTGGAACAAACTTACATGCTATCGTTGACCGCGATTCTGGTCAGACTCGCGATGGCGTTGAAGCTTCATCGCGACCCCGAAAGTCAAGGCCTCCCCTTTTCCGATTGCGAATATCGACGACGGCTGTGGTGGCACATTTGCACGCTGGACGCGAACACCTCCGAGGACAACAACTCAGATGCGCTGATTTACGAACGACAGTGCACTACGAGAGTACCGGAGTGGTCGACGGATCCGAACTGCCCAGAGTACTTGAAGAACATGTTCTACAGCGCTGTGCAGGCTGAAATTACCTACTATAGCCGCACTGTGCTCTTCTCCGCGCAGTTCATGGAGGACAATGGCTATCCGGTGCTCCCAACCGAAGGCAAGCTCTGTGTGATCGAGGCATTAGAGGACACGCTCAAGGAGAAATACTTCCGACGCTGCGATCGAAACATGCCGACTTACAGACTGGCTCTGACTTCGAGCAAAATCACCATTGCGAGAATGAAGATCGCTATGCTCTACAATGAAGAGGATATTGAGTCAGCCTTGAATGACGAAATAGACTTGATCCTTCGAGCCTGCGTTGAAGTCATGGAAGGTCTTCGTAGCTTCAGGAAAGACCCATCTCTGTCCGTATGGGCCTGGCTATGGCAGAGCTACGTGGACTGGGATGCAGCTGCAATCGCCCTGACAATCCTCAATCGAACCAACTCCTGCTCTTCAGAAATTCTCTCGAGAGCAGTTTCTGCCACCGAATCCTTCTTCGACTCCTGGTCGGAATGCCTCTTCGAACCATCACGACAGGAGCAATGGGCGCGTTTGAACCATCTCCGAAACAAGGCCAAAGTCCCTCAGCCTTACATGGCCCTGAGCAAGAGAAGCAGTCGCGCTTCCATGGCTCTGACTCTGCCCAAGACTCCCGTTCAGTTGCAGATTCACAGCGCACCCATGGATACTAGACGTATGACCCTACCCAACCCCATCGAGCCCGCCTCAAACGGCACAAGCGAACGGCACAGAAGGAACAGGCTCAGTGGAGACAGTCTTGCACGCAACTGGTCCATGCCGATTTGTGCAACTCCCAAGGCTGACGAGATGCATTTCGACCTCAAGGCGCTGGATTTGCATGACATAACAGCCAGCGAGTGAGGCTTTTCATCGAAATGATCCCAACCTAGTCCGTCAAGAGCTCGGCTGAGTTGGCATGAATTTACTTCGGCTCTTGTTCTTTGCCTCGTTTGTGTACTATATACCCTACCATTTAGTGTAATGTCTATAGCTCGTATTGCTTTTGAGCTCGGATATGGAGTGTTCTTCCTCTCTGATCAACCAACGTGCTCGTGTGTATATCACAACTCCCGCCACTTCTCTTCTGTCCACCGCAACGAATCGACGAGTGTTGTTCTTCCCTCACCACAACGTGAGTATAATCCAACCTGTTTCACAAGTCAACACAAAACTCGAACGAAACCCATACTTGACAGGACGCCTCCAACAACTCACAAGTCACTCCATCGCCAGATCCCGTTCACAAAACGCACCGTTTCAAAGACCAAACTACACATGAAACTGTCTATCGTCGACGAATAATCTACGAAGTCGTTCGACTCGAACTACATCACACCACGTACAAATGATGCAAAGCAACGAGCAGACTTGCCAAATCGCAGATGCAAAAGAGAATCCATGACGCTTCGCAGTCGGGTTTGTTGAGGCGCGTCGTGGAAGAGGACATGACAATGTACACGTTGACACGGGTCTCATCAGCCCCGAAAAAGCCACCATCGGGATCACAATCTACCGGTACAGCCTAAAGTAGCAAACACACAGATTCGCAGAGGGCCGAGATGCAGGTTCAGTAACGTTACTCCTTGGCTCTTCGAGTCCAGCCCGGCTTCAAGCCTTTTCAGATTCGGCATGTGTCCACTTCAAGCACGTGGTGTATGAAAGATAGAAGAGTTCCAAGTAGCGTGTGAGAAAACCCCATTCATTTGATATACAGTTCCGTTCATTCATCGCCATTCCTCATACCATTAAGAAGCAAAAGCTACCAATACAATGCATCCAGGGTAAGATATTAAGTAGCTTGTTGACCGCCTTGGTCCAACAAAAAAATCTTTTGAGCCTCGATATTGCCGCCCGGGTATATATGTGCATACATCCTCTTCTCGGATCCCCTCCTCAATCGCTAAAGTCTGGATTGGCAATGAAGAGTCGCACGCCACTCATCGTTGATGTCCGCTCGTCCACGCTTCCCCGGCGTCGTAGATCATCTGCGTTGCTTTTACGTTGCTGTACTTGCTGTTCTGCCGTGACTGTACCTTGCGGCAGTCCAGATAACCCACCGAACTTTTCTTCTGCTTCACCACTGCTCCCACTTCCTCCATTGCCGCCTTGTCGGTTGAAGTAGTCGTTCTTGGTGGAGGACTCACTGGTGGGCATGGGTGTTTCATCCTCGGCGACTTCGCCGATGCTGTCAACGGGACTGCCGCCGCCGGCAGGTGTAGAGCCGTTGCTGTAGGCCTTGCTCTTTCCAGCATGCGTGCCAGAGCTGGCATATGTGTTACCTCGTCGTCCACTACCAATGCTGTTCCTCCCACTGCCGGTCTTGGTTTGATATCGAGACTCCTCATCGCTGTCTCCCTCATCCACCTCTGTCGCGCTGAGACGCATGGGGACGCCCGCGCCACCCAATGCCGCAGCGTTGTAGGCACTTGCCTTTGGTGCTCCGTGATGTCTGATCTTGGATCTTACTCCACCAACCATACCCGTGCTCGYGCTCGTGCGTGGGGCTTGTGCGTAGGTGTGCCCACCACCGGCAATGTCGGCCGCAGCGCGCATCTTGGCTTGGCGTTGAGCTGTGAGGATGCGCGGGTCTTCGTGTTGAGCACGGTCACACCATACCGTCGCCTTCTGCTTCCGCATCAAGGCGACGTATGAGGTGGGCGGGATTGAAGRGTTGGATCGTGACGAGGTCGACCGCCGCGGCACTCCGCTGGCGGTACCGGTGCTGTATGTCGATGCGCGGTTGGCATTGGGGTTGGTGGAGGATGTGGAGGAAGTGGCATTCGACATGGTTCTGCGCGAATCTTGGTACATGGGCTGTGGGGACGGTTGCTGCGATGATGTGGTCATGCTGTAGGCTGGAGACACGCTGTAGGGCATCACGCTTGACGAATTGGTTCTCGTGCGGGAGTGCAGTGACTCCTGGGTGTATTGAGGGTGCAGTTGCGCTGCTGCTTGATGGTGCGGCTGCTGATGCAGCGGCAACGGTTTGCGGTGAACGGCTGCCATGGTTTCTTGGGTATAACGCTGTCAGGGAGTTGCCTTGGTGGACCTCCTTCACTGCAACGGGCGGGGTTGCTGCTTGTTCTTGTCCTTATTCACTGCGTCTTCGGTGCTCGCAGCTGTGCTGTTTACTCCACTCACACCCAGGTGGAGCTTGGGGGAGCTTCTCGGACCAGGCTACACTTCAGATCCACTCTCGCAATCGTCGTGGGTGTTGTTCGTTCTCTCGTTCGCTCGGCCAAGGATTGTCGACAAGGGTGAATGCAGGCGACAGCTGCAGGTCGCTTAGGCCGTTATGCAGGAAGCCGTGCGGGTACGGTATCTCGACTTCCCAAGAGCGGAGGAGCTGAGCGTCCAGATAAGATGTGACCACAAAAACGATCGGCGGCGCTTCCAAGACACCGCAGACAGGCAATCCCTGATAGCCCGACAGTGCACGCGATGCGGCCGTCCACCCAAATCCGGTTTCTTAGGCGTCGCGACGAGATGAGACACGACACCGACGAGCGAGGGAATTTCAATCGGACCGCAAATCGCGGACCTACTTTATCGCTCGGTCGGGGATGGGAAACGAAAGGGTCCAGGTCCAGAGCAAAGGGCGGGAAGACGGCTGGAGAGAATAATAATATGGTCCAGCGCTCAGAATGCGCTATTATTCTTCCAAGATGCGCCTAGATGTCCCGCACTGCTGGCAAGAAAGGCATTGTTATTTCTCATTCGCCTAATGTCTCGCGGCGGCGCCACCAAGCCCGTTGAAGCCGTCCGTTGGGAGGGGAGCTCACCTTGAGAGGAAAGTCTAAAACACAGTAACCGCCGGAATGGGTCGATTGTGTCTTCCGCCACGGTCAAATGATATATCAGGCCCGGCAAAGGTCGGATATTGGATTACAGATGGAGATAGTGAGGCGACTTACGATGCCGTCGACGTTATGTATGGGGAAAAGCTCGCAAGAGACCGTTTTAGGCCCGTACTAGCTCGACCAATGCAACACGCGCAAGACACAATAATAATACGAGAGGCGGCACGTCATGCACATCATCCATGTGGGATGTTTGAAAACGTGGACTGTTTCCTCCACTGTCGATCCGATGCAACTCTACTCACACCACCAGGTCGTGAAATCTCCGTGGCTTGCCAATACTACAGTACTCCCGTATGATTATGCAGCCCCGCCTTGCATACCGCTCAGTGATGAGTGCCCCCGTATCTCGACCTGCATTTCGGCGACCCTCGTCTTTTGAACGATCATCGCCGCGCTAAACAATCAATGCACGCCTATGCACCCCATCTCCGCAGCCCGTGCCCACAGATGGCAGGTCTGCCGCTCGTGCTTTGTATGATGTCCGTCCAAGATTGGAAGTGTCTCTAAGCATTGTATGAGAGGATCGCTGGACTTTCGGCGCAAGTTGGTCTCTACGCTCCCTCGGATTCCATACTCGTTATTGCATCGATCAACATGACGTGGAGCCGGCTCTTTAGTCGGGTGGGGCTATGATGTGATGTGATTCCGAAGAGGTTACGCCGGCGTGCTTCTATTTTCGAGACCGCTCCGAGCCTAAACACGACCCATGTGGGAGGTATTCCTAACGTACGAGTATAGGCGGCGGAGATGATTCGATATGGGAGCATCAATAACCCAGATCTTGGCCGCGTTTGGGCATGGTCTGTGTTCAGACACGGCATTTGATCATCTCAATGAGGAAGCATCCTGGTGGCAATCTCGCCGACCTGCTTTCCCACAACTTACATGGTACTTCCYACTCGACCACGATGCATATCCTCCGTGCAGCACCGTGACCGGGACATCCCACCAACACCTCACAGAATCGTATTATCGCCTGTCAACCCGAGCAATCGGGTAACTTTAATATTTCGAGCGTCTCGGGTCGCTTGGGGCGCGGCTCAGAGGCGGAAGCGCCTTGTCTTTTCGCCATCTATTTGCGACGTTGTAACATCGGCGAGGTGACCGAATCTACCTACCACCAGGACCAGGATCATCGCTCCTTGCTTCTTTGTCCTGTCTTGAGTCTGGAGCAACGGAATGAGACTCAAGCAAAACATGCGCCGGGTCTTTGCTGGTACAGGCTGACCACAGCCATGGAAGCTTGGCCTTGGCCTTGGGACGAGAGCGTCACCTCACGCTCCTCCATTTTGGGCTGATCTGATCACACAGCAAATCTGATGATGGTGATATTGTGGGAGCAAGCCTCGTGTAGGAAAAGCTTCGATGGCCAGACAGCAGCCCGTGGGTAAGCTTCTCAATCGTTGGATCGACCAGCCCACCATCCAGCCCCATCCTGCAGACATCGTTTATTAGATCACGCGCTGCCCGCTTTCCCACTCCACAACATTACACACACGAGATGACCAGCATACTGGAGCGACTCCCTAGCGAAATCCTCGAACAAATATGCAAAGACGTTCTTATCTGCGACTTGGTCGACGTTACTCCAAACAGGAACTCACCGCCTCGGCTGACTGGTAACTCATCCGACGGATCTGATACGTCTGGCCGCRCGGAACCAGACGTGAGAAGGTGTACTGGCGCAGCAATACCCACAGAGTTATCAGCCCTACTCCACACTTGCCGACAGCTGTATCACGAGGCGTCTCGGATCTTCTTCTCCTACAACAAGTTCCACATTGACGTTTCCGAAGCCACCCTATCTGAGCCCGCGCGTTGGTTATCGTCACTACCTCGTGAGGGAAGATCGAGAATCAGGAACTTTACTATCACTTATCAAGCTGGAAATAATGACCTGTTCTCTGAACTCAAAAGACAGTCGAATGCCTTCGATCCCACCAGCTTGTCTTTACTCGTCAATGCCCCTCGCATCATCCGTGATAAGAACATGAGAATCATCTCCAGTGCACTCAGGGAATTGCAAAGCATAGACGATTTCAAGTTCTCGGCCATCAATATCCGATTCGAGCGCCAGGCCGCTGGGTCATTGGAGTGGGATTCTTGTCGTCGGTGTTGGGCACAGTGTCTGTATGAGATGAACGACACTTTCAAGTTGCCCGATGGCGATGAGATTGGTTGCGATTCTTGTAGGAAGATGGGATCTGCCTCTCGTTGCTCGTATCATTGTCGGAAGCCTCTGGACAGTTGGGCGACAGCATCGAGTGCAAGACCGGGAGGACCGATCTAAATGAATGCCTTATTGATGTTAATGATTCACGGTCTCATAATGGAGTAAAGAGGGCACAGGACGACCAACATTCGAGATAGTACTGATGACTTGATCAAGAGGAATGCATTATACCCACAAACTTACCGTCTTCTGCACTATTAGTCCAATATGAAGAACCGAATCATACAATCCGGAGGAGAGAGATGTTCAACGTTACACGATCTGTTGGCGTCAGCGACGTCACGGCTGCCATGACGCTGGAGGCTGGTCGTTGCAACATCCGAGTGCACGTTCACGCATGGCTGGACTTCCAGCCAGCTTACCGATTCCCGGTCAATGCTTGTTAAACAGTTGAGGTGTAGTTCTTGGCTACGGAGATACTCCTACTCTTATACCTATAAGGCGAATTAAAGCCGTCGTGGGGCGGAACGGTGCTGTTTTATCCGCAAGATGACCACGGTATACATGTCTCAAATACCTTACTCCTTCATCTCCTTCAAAATCTCACTGCGATGGAATTCTACTTGGGCGAAGGCGCTTTCCATTCACTTCAGACTGCCTCGCAGGTTTCYTGATCCTCTCATGCAAGAGATGCCCTTATATCAAAATCTGTTGACAACATCAGATTGTCAGAGGTAGCAAATGCACAAAAGTCGAAATTGAGGTGGCCGGCAGAGAGCGTGAAGCTTCCCCGAGATTGAAATTCGCACTTTCCAGGTCGCAAGCACCAGAAATAACCAACCGTCCGCGCCACCACATAAACCGGCTGCCACTTCTGAGTGGCAGTATACTTTCCTGCGAACACCAGTTCGAGCTCCAGTGTGGGCCTCCGGCTTGTCAGTGTGTCGTGCTGGAGATCCCTCATCTCTGCCGTCGTTGTTGGCCGCTCGCGTTCCGATGGACGTGTCGAATGGACGAGACAGGAGGTACAACGCGTTTTCTCTTCATCATAAGTTCCTTGACGGCGACAACGTCTAGCGAGGATGTCTCTGGTTCTGAGTTGACTTCAACTACCCTCAGCGTTGCAACGCTCTCTTTCCTCTCTTCCTTTCCTTTCCTTTCCATGCCATAGCCATTTCTTTCTAATGTTTACCTGACGACCCACACTCCTTACCATCTCTGGCACAGTTTCAAACTCTCGCACAATTCTACTAGCGACAGAGTTGGCCGAGGCGGCACTTCATCAGTACGATACATCTAATTGAAGCCAGACCTTGGGCTTGGCGAAAGTGATTTCGTTCACATTCCAACATACCTTGTTGTGGAAACTCCCGCATACCGTGCTCAACCAAATCATAACATCGACCATCAAGCATCTGGGCGAACCCAAGCAGTTTCCGATCGCCGTGTGACATAACCGGACACAACAACTTGAAAGACACTGGCGATGGGCCGAGCATTGGGAAGGGAGATGAGGACACCGGCGCCCACCTGGACGTAAAGACTGACCACCTGGAACGAATCCCGGACTCTGGAATCACCAAACCACCAACTATAATCAGTAATTCATAATGACTCGGAACAACATGGAACGAAGACAGGACGCCTCCGTGGCAGCGGCCAGTCCGCCCGCCGCCGCGAATACCACGCTATACCTCGCGATCGGAGTGGGAGTGGGAGTCGCGATTCTTTTCGCGATGACGGGTGTGGCCATCCGCATCGTGTTGAAGAAGAAACAACACCAAAGAGAAGTAGCCGAGCTGGAACATGGGGCGTCCAGCACTGCGATCTCGCCCGGTAGGAATACGGAACAGGCACCCCGACCCGTGACGATGCGATGTAGCCAGGTCATGCCCAACTCTCAACAAGGCTGGGACGCACTAAGATCGAGCGAGACTCTCAATGTGCCTAGTCCGGTAGCCCGACATCCGCAAAAGCGATTGAGGTCCTCGGTTTTGCCGAAGAGGCTCAGGAATCGTCGCATACAGTTTGGCAAGAACAAATATCTGTCTGCAATTGTTGAGCTGGAGAGTCCGATTCGCGACAAGGCGTCGCCAGAACTGCCTTCTYTGGAGAACATGGAGAAGTTCATGGCTTCGTCGAACTTGATCTACCCCGAGCAAGATGACGCTGGTCAGTTTCGGAGTCATCAAGCCACGACCGCAACGGGCTCAGCTCGCTCGGCAAGTCCGACATTGGATGCCCTACCGTCGTTCGCAAAGCGATCTCCAACAAGGTACGATGCCAATCGGACCAAGAGCGATGATGCAACCATAAGAGTTGCACGATCTGCGTCCGCAGGCCTGTTGGGCGTCTCTGTCGTGGCCGGGACAGTGTCCGGTCAGGCATATTGTGATTCATACAGGTTGTATCGCCCTGATCCACACACTAGATCACTCAGCCTCGGAGCACCAACAAGCCAACCACCGTCTGGACCTGTCCCACCAATCCCTGCCAGATCGCCTCACCGTCTGATCACGAAGTTTGGCAACGATGAAGATGCACGGCAAGTAGTGTGCATCTCGCGCACATCGTCTTCAAGTGGTGATTCCGCTAGCAGCTCGGTCCTGGTCACAAGCCCGATCTTGACCAGGAACAGCGACAACGATGCCCTGCAGTCGCCAACATTGGAGGACGTCGTTGCGGAAGATGAACACGCTTCACTGAAGACAGGAGCGAGCCATCAATGGCTGAATCCACGCATCGACGGTCCGCGACCAAATACTACAAGCTCCGCATCGAAATTGCAGAAGTCTGTATCCGTTTGTGGAAGCATCATCCGCTTCAGCAGCGAGAGTCTCTTGACACGGAAGCTATCCACCGCAAGTTCAAGCTCAGAGGGAAGCTTTGCCAAGCAGCAGAGACTATCCATTGCTCAGATCGGAACAGCGAATAGCATCATGATGAGCCGTGTATCCTCGTCCAACTCCCTGACGGGCTCACTCGGCGGCGTGCAAAAAGTCTCCACTCCTCCCCGCAAGATCAGGAACAGGAGACAGTCCGTATCCGCCAGTGGATCTCCAGCAGAGCGTAGACGAGCAGGAATTCTACGCGATATCTCCGGAAAGGCAAGCAAGTTCACCGTGAACCGCGAATCTTCAGATTCCACCCCGAACTCTGGACGCAGCAGCYGTGGGAATCCATTCCAATGGGACACTAGTGCCACGAAACTCAATGTTCCTAGCGMACTGAAAGGAAGTCCCAATGCCCGTAAAGGTCATCGGAGACAGAACTGCGTACGCATCAGTACCTTGACTCCGCAAGTTCTGGGACCTGTGCGCAGCAGATCCGCCAGCCCAGCAGGCCTTATGGATCGCATTAAAGAGGAGAGCGAATGTGACGAGTTCCATCGCGCTGAAAGTGGCGAGGTGGAWGGAAACGAGAAGCAGCTTATTGTGCAGAAGAGACGGCCTAGCCCCATGCGCCAGTTCAGCAGCTCCACCCTCCCCGACAATCTACGGGTCAAGACCCTACGAGCATCAATCACATCCGACTCACCAACGTTGTCAGTCTGGAATGCGTACCAAGAAGCTGCAGGTCTCACATCCGCAGCCTCCGATTCGAACCTGCCAATCTCTCCAGATGGAAGCAGACCGGGCTCAAAACAATCCAATCGCTCATCAGGAACCTTTGACATTCCCAAATTCCCCACTCCAAGCAAGTCGCAAGCGTCCGTGGCAGCGGTAAACCGTGCAACACCATTGCCAGAGTTCTCCATGGACTTTGACAATGAAAAGGACGGATCGTCGCCGTTCGCGTTGGCAAGCTCACCTTCTTCCAGCGAGGCCTCACCAGTCTCGCCGCTCTCACCAGACGCTCGCGTTTCGCGTGTTTCGCAAGTCTCGCCTGTAGCATTCCAATTGCCTTCCAGTCCACCAGATCAGCTGTCAGCCAAGAAGGAATATGATCCCGCCTGGCCTGCGATCCACATGCCTATATTCGGCGGGGAGGGCGATGAATACGATCCTGCAAGTCCACCTGAGATGTCGTGGGACGCAATGGACCCCGAGCGGAGTTCTTGTTTCCTTCCATTTGCCGCCGGGAACATTTTTGGCGACGATCGAGAAGATAGGACTCAGACGAACAGAGTCGCGAAAGAGGAATCGCCGCCATGCTCACCAAAAAGCTCTCCCATGCCAGACACTCAAGCGAGAGATGTTGAAACCTTGACAAGCTCCAATGCAAGCAGAATGATGTCTCGTCTTCCCTCAACCAGCTCTTCAGGTGTGTTGGGGCTGAACAGCATCCCAATCCTACTCCCACCAACCACCTCGGAAGATCCAGCCTACCAGCTACCGGAATGGAAACCGCCCGCAGTACCCACACAAAGCAGCGCTCCTCGACCACGTCGCGTTACAAGTACCGGTTCGCCGAACAGAATCCGACGAAGATCCCCAGAGCCTTTCTTACCCACCATTCCACAGAGCAGCTCACCTCCACAAGCCCCAAAATTTCACACCGTTCGACCATTCAATACTGCACCCCCGGCCAAGAGCAACACCCTCCAAGCGCCTGGAAATACCAGTCCAAAAGGTCCCCGTAACGCCCCAGCCAAGTCCGTGCTGAACAACATCTCCAAATTACGACGCATGAACAGTGAATGCAACACAGGAACTCCCAACCGCCAGAGCAGAAATTGGCAACTTCTAGGTCGCCAAGCCAGTCCAAGTCTACCCTTCACAGGCGCAATACTACCGACAGAGGATAGCAGCAACAGTCTGTTTGATTTCGACTTTGGCACTCGCACATCGGAGCAGTATACGCAAGGAGGTGCCGCTGATGGCGAGGTAGAAAATGGCATGGGAAATCTCTTGGACAAGAACACTTTTGATCGAGTCCTAGATGGAGCACTCGCAGGCTTTCATGCCGAGTTTACGAGTTGGAGTGCCGAAAAGGACAAGAATGGCGAGCAGAGGCCGACTTCGAGCGTCTGGGATGATGGAGAGCGATTCTGGCAGAAGCAGCCAGATTCAGCGGAAACTCCGTCCTGCAAAGTCCATGCAGCGGAGGCCACGCCTCGAAGGAGTGCGGAGCCGACGTTTGATCCAAAAATGTTGTCCACCACTCCGAGGCAGATGGCAACGCAGATGAACTCGCCAGGGAACACGCCAAAGAGCTTGTACGACGCCGACGGCTTTTTGAAGACTTAGTTACTAATGTTTAAGGGGAGGATGTGTTTTTTAGATACCCACATATGAAACTTTTCTTTCGTCCGGTTCTTAGCTCGTTATGCCGTAAATCCATGCGTGAGTTAAAAGTCCTGTCCCAAATATCTCTCATCGGCGATATGTATCCAGTTCATCCAGTCCGCTGCCATTTCTTCTCATCTTCCTCTCCAGCACCGTCCGCAGTATCCAGCTCGGCCGCAGTCCTAGTCCGGCCTGCACCTTCTCCGAGCGGTTCTGCTCCTTGATCATCGTCTTCACCGCCAATCACCGTCATGCCCTCAGGCATTCTGAAGTTCCCATTCTCATCCATGAAATCCCCCATATTCTCACTCGTAATCCAACCCGTCGCGCCGGGAGCCGTCTCATCAAATCCACCATCCTCACCCTCTTCTCCATGCTGAGGCGGGTCAGGATTCAACTCCTGACAGTCCGAGATGGCTCTAAATAGCGCATCGGAAGAATTATTCTGGTCGGCAGTTCCGTTCGATGCGCCGCCTTCTGCTTGAGTCGCTGCTGCTGCATGGTGCTGAACAGTGCCTGCTGTGATTCGAATCTGCACGAATTGAATATCCTCGTCTGCAGTATCGATGTCGGAGAGATTCAGCTCAAGAAGCACGTCTTGCCCATCCTGTGCGGTCACGGTGATTGTCGGGTAAGAGATCTGCAGTCCAGATGAATGCGCCGGGGCGAAGAGTAGGACATGTCGTGAAGTCACCCAGACATCGACGCCGGAGAGATGGATGTCGCCGTTGGAGCTTGCAGATGGAGTGGTGCCGCCGGACAATTGCTGAAAATCTGATTGTGCTTCGAATTGGTCTTGGGGGATCTTGATGGTCGAATCTGGAGCATGCAGGTGTAGGACTGGCTGGCCGCCGAAGAAAGAGCCCGGTGTTTGTGAGGTATATTCAGAGAGTGGAGTGAAGTCCTCGATTAGGGGCGCGGTTTCGATAGTTTCGAGTGACATGTTGTCGTTGTTTCTCTGAATGTTGATTGTATTTCAAGTGAAGCTCTCCGGCCCTGCAGCTTTGGAGAAAGTCGGCGAACCTTAATCCGGTAGGGCTGAAGCGACTCAACCGGGATACATCAACAGGAATGTTCTCACGAATGATGATAAATAAGTGATTCTCCAGCACTATCAACGCTCCCGTCCTTGGTATCATCACAATGCAAATGCTGCCCAACGACTCGCTGTCCTGTCCAGCCAAAAGTCGAAATTATGTTCTCAACGCCCTCTCAATCAATCCCACCTCATCATCGTTTCCCATTCATGCCATCCGCTCCATGCAAATACTTATCCATGAAGGAGATATAGTCGAACTTTGGCACATCGCGATCCTGCTGTAAGTCAGGTCCTTTGTGCGACGGCATCTCCGCTACGAGCTGTTGCACAATCTCATCCGGTATTAATGAGTGCGTCAGKTCCATCTCCGTCACATACGGTTTGCCATCTGCGACTTCCCGGAAACTCTCAAAGACCTGTTCCGCAGTGTTCTGGTCCTCGGTAACATCGACCATGAAGCGAATGAATTGCTCGAATGTGACGTGCCCGCCATGACCTGCCACCTCGACGAATCGTTCGTGCATTTCTTGCTCATCATACACCAATCCGAGCGAGGCCAGCGCGGCTGAGAATTCGAGCTCCTGGAGCGAATTGGACAGGTCGCGGTCAAAGTGTCGGAATACGGACTCGAATTCTTCAAGCTGGATGGGAGTCAGGTTGGTCATGTTGCGGGCCACCACTTGGTTATCAAGAAAAGCGAGCTTTTTCTGCACGCTACTACGCACGAGACCCAGTTCGTATGCGAGTTCATCATAGGTATACGTTGTGTAGTCGTTTTCTTCAATGTTGGCCTCTTCACATTGTGTGTCCAGATTAGCAATGATGTCGAGGTACTTGTCCAGTGGGGGGAGATTTTCCGCGATTTGTGAGGCGTGTTCGCGCTGATCGTCTACGTCGCCTTCCAAACCGGATATGCTGACACTAATGGTCTTGAGTGCGAGGGCAAAGTCGTTAGCTTTGTCGGCAAAGGTCTTCCGGAGGTTGTTCTTGATGTCACGGATCGTGTTGTTGATTGCCTGGCTTCGGGCTCTTTCAGCTTCCATCAAGCCATTCCAGGCAGAGTCAAGTGCTTCCAAGCTGAGGTCTGCAGGTGGCTGGTATGGACGAAGTTGGTACGTGTTGAGTTTGGTCTTGATGTTGCCTAGCAAACCGGCGAGATCGCTCTTCTCAGCAACCCACTCCCGCTTCCCTCTTTGCTTATATCCAGTGAAATCCTTGCTCTGGGCCTTTGCATCTGCGTACGTGCCATCGAACTTTGCACTCTGCCAGTATTCTCGTTGTTTGTGAATCTGCTGCAACAGTTCACGAACTCTTCGCTCGTATGTGTTTTGCATCTCCCAGGCGCCTTGCATGTTGGAGACGAACTTTTCCACTCTCCGGCCTGCATTCTCAACCTTTTCCATCTGGGAAAAGGCATGGAACCAATATGCGATATATGTCATGAGCGATCGCTCGTCCGGCTTTGCAACATCACAAACGTCCTCCACATCCAGCAGGTCCGGGATACCGATTTCCTTAGAAGCAATATCAAAGGCCAGCTGCATGTTCCCACGGTGGTCCGATTTGTCCAGCTCGTCAAAATCAATTAGATCGGGTCGGTGGATGTCCAAGAGTGCACAGAATGCCAGGCCATCGTTCCAGCTACCTGAAAAGTCTCTCACCTCCACCTCATCGTAGCATGCTGTTTTCCGTTGACACCACAGCAGCAATCCTTCCCTGGCGCTGAGACCTTGATGATTCACATCGCTGATGGTGAAGCGTAGAATCAACGTCCATATCAGGCCCAAGATGATCTTTCGATTGCCGTCCACAATGTCTTCGGCGCCAATATTCGTCAGCTGGATCTTCCGCCCTTTGATGAAATCCAGAGCAATGTTGACATTCTCGAACCGTTGCACTCGTAGTTTCGGCCGAGCGGCATATCGGCCGAGGGACTCCTGTGAGAGGATTTCGAGGAGGTGTATTAAGATGACGCCGTCCGAGAGATCAGTGACGAGGTTCGCAATCTCGACATTGCGTACTTTGAGCTTGTTGTTGAGCCTGGCGACGACGCATGGTTAGCTATGTCCGCCTGAAACCATGGCTCATGTCTCACCATTTACCAAATGTCTTCTCCTGCACTTTAATCCTATGCGCACATGTCGGTCAGCCCTCTCAACGCCCCGCAGCTGGGGGACCGAACCCGCCAAACATACCACGACTGCTCAAGCACCGCCATGGCGTAATTGCATACTGCTGTAAGCGCAACGTCGAACCCTCCAAGCTGTCTGGTGAGGTATCGATGCTGTGAGATGTGCGAATGGTGAAGGAAAGGTGCAATCGGGATGTTGATTGCAGCTGGCGCTTGAGCCGAAGGTTGGGCCTGGCCTGTTCATCACGGCAACGACATTTACCCGCTGTCCCGCACTGACTTTCACGTGCGTAGCAACCTGCACACATCATTCACTCCACAACCTCAGCACTCGCGTTCAATTGGTGGACCTGTTTCGGAGAAGGCATACCCCTGCGTTTACGAATCACCATGCCACTGTCAACATGGCCTTTTCGTTGAAAACATGTTTTTCGGCAGCCACCATTCCGCCGAGCATGGGTGCCGACAGGAGAGCCAACTCATTGGACTTTTCGCAAGATAAAGGAGCGCAATGTGCCAAGTGCGCACCAGGGAGCCGAAATGAAGAAGAGAGTCGTTTTTCATTGCATTAAAACAGGCATTCGTCTCAGCCACTTGGGCATGCTTGAATACTATGATTCCGCTAAAATAATATTGCCTACGTCGTAACGTGGACGTGTGGGTATCTCCTCCAGCCCTCCAAATCAAGAAATGGCATCAAGATGACAACGCTCCCCGGCGCCATCGCATTGCAAGTTTCAACAAATCATGTTCACGTAAAGACATTCAAAAGCTTTTTTTCAAGCCGCTCATATCCAGCCGACGTGGTCTTCGCCCGGCACTTCCGCAACATTGCCCCCTGCTAGAGCAATGCGGCTGGGCGGTGTTGCAGAGCGTCCCCGTTGCACAGTGCGTCCGGCAGAAAACAACAGCGTGCGGTCGCCAGACGTGGACGGCCGGCGCATAATGAAGCTGTCTGTTTGTGCCCTAGTTGGTTGAAGACGCGTGGTAGTCGAGGCCTCCTCGTCGTCTTCATCGGCCGATGTCACAGACTCCAGCTGACGCGACATGCGATGGGATTTGACGACGGACGATCTGCTTTTCCGCCTGCTCTGCACGAGATCTGGAATGGAGCTGGTCGATGCGGACGACCAACGCGTTGTATCACTTCCCACGTGCATGGATCGTCTGCTGCTCTCCCAAGAATTTGCAGAGCTCGACTTGCGGCGTTCGCTCGAGCGTGCGGAGGATTCAGGATCACTCAGGTATTCGGGAGCTCGGTTCGCATCGAAGCCTGGAAATTGCATCTCCCCTTCAGTATACGGTGACCTCTCGCATTCGAGAAGACTAGCCTTTATCAAAGGGGTTGGACTCCCCGACGCAGATGTGCCAAGTTTGAGGGACGTAGGAGCTGACAGCGCGACTTCTCCCGACCCAGTCCTTGCAGCTTGGAAACCACGATGTCCGACAGAGGATCCGCGTTTGTGCTGAGTGTGATCCAATGACGATGAGCTTGACATTGATGGTGCGTCGCCGAGCCACGCAGATAACCGAACGCCGCCGGGCTCGCCACCATCATCGTCGTGGTCCGATGGCGTTAGTTCTGCTTCTTCTTCTTCGCGAGGAGACGCCACATTCTCCCAGTCAAAATCACAGCTTGCTTCCGCTTCTTGGTCAAAAGCAAAATCAATGTCGTCTTCCCATGTCGGCTCAATGAAGACATCCGTGCGAGAGTTGACGGTCGCGACAGACTTGGACGATCTTTTGGACACGAATGAGCCGGCCACGGATCCGGCAACGGAATCGGCAGCGGAACCGGCACGTCCGTGAGGCGGAGCTGGAAACAACTGGCCGAGTGTTCTCATCGAGCTTTTGGAATGCGTTTTGCGCACGCCTCGAGTGGGCACGGGTGGTAGTGGCTTGCTCTCACGCTGGCTCTGTCCAGCGAGCGTCGTCAAAGGCGCGCTGAGAGTCTCGAGAGGAGGTGCTGGACGGACAGGAAGGCTCGCCCTTACATCTGACGATGCTACTGCGCGCTGAAGCGTGGGAGGAACAATCTCATCGCGGGTGCCTCGCTCTTTAATGAGGTGGCGCAGTTTGTCGGGATCATTGACCGTTGGCGAGCTCAGTGCAGTCATTGATGAGTAATGCTTGGGAGATTTCACCGCTGGCTCTGGTGCGTGGTGAACCTCGTGTATTGTTTCAAAGGCATCGGGGTTGAACTTGGTCTCTTGCGTTTCGTCGAATGTGGTCTCGTCGAGACTTTCGGCGACTTCGGTCGTTGCTTGTGAGGAACATGGCCTCTCAATCTCAAACGAAAGCTCTGAAGGTTGTGTTGATAGTTTTTCTGACAAGTCATCCGCTTGAATTTCCTTGAGGTCGCCTTTGGGCTTCTGGTATGCATTGACCGACCAGAACTTGGCGGTCAGGTTTCTTTCGTCGACGGTTTGAAGCAAGGGAATGTGCTTTTTAGCTGTGTGGGTTAGATGTTGAAAGTTGAATGGTCGTGAGATGCTAGACTTTTTGCGGTGCTTGTAGTCTGGTATTTTTGTCAGTCCTGCGCTATTGCACGTCGATTGTCGACTGGTGCTTACATTGTTCTTCGCTTGTAAATTCGTGCTCTTCGGGTGCTTTCAATGGCTTCGTCTTCGTGACCGGTGCGGCAAAAGGGATCAAGGTGGTGTTAGGTTTGTCACTAGAAACGCTTTGTCGCGACGAGGACCTGCGAGAGGATCCCGGACGAGGAGGGTTCACTTGGTCGTTAGCAGGCGCCTTCATCCAGGTTCCTAATCCAACGAGAGATTTACGGATGCTATCCAACGGGTCGACTTTCTTGCGACGGGTTTGTGAAAGAGCGGTCGAGGATCGCGAAGTGAGCGAGTCGGCGGGGTCGGCGCGGCCCTTGGAAGTGGGCATTGTGGCATTGAGAGTAGGAAGAGCGCGCCTGTGAGTCGAGGCGTCGGAATTGGAGCGACCAAAGAAAGAGAGTCGTCTCCGCTGATATTCCAGAGAGGTGTGAGGTGAGGTCGGCGCCTCCTCTGTACTTCCAGCTCCAGTCCGGTCCGGAGTTGTTCCAGGAACGGTGTCCATGGTTGGGGGATGTCGGTGCGAACGCCCCTCGGCTGCAGGGAGCTCTTTTCCAGACGCCTCAGAATGCAGAGCTGAGCCGAGTCACATTCATATTTGGGGGAAGCGTGATGCAGAGCTTCTGAGATAACCTGCCAGGTATCTTATTCGTTTGACGAAGAAAACGATCGATGGGGATCGCGAGGGTTAAGACCGCGCCAGAGCAGGGCATATGACGGTGGTACGAGCCCAAGCTGCGCTGCCTCGCCTTTTTCAGATTTGGGACCTGTTCGGCGACTCGCGCAGTCCACCAAAAAAGCACCCGCCGCGGCAGGACCCTGCTRCGCGTTCCACCAACCGATGATCCTGGGACGCAACAACGCTTGCGGAGTAGGTCGCCCGGACCGTTGACTGTGCCAGGCGTCGCGAACAACCACGCGGCGATCGATTGGTCTTGTCTCACCTGCACGCGTTGAGGACCGAGAGCCGCTCTGCGCAACGTAACCACCTCGAGGTAGTTCCCTGCACAATGCCATTCTGGCCCGTGGCCTGGCGGGTAACGACCGCTCACCCCTCCCGCGCCGTGAGCGTTCTTGCATCATCAGGTCATCAGGCATCAAGGAAAGTGTCCTGACTCTTGTTTGCAGCGGCATGTTGATCTCCTGTTGCGAGTTCAGCCTGGTGTAGGTTTGCGGGAACGGGCTGTAGCCTCACACGGGCTTTGCGCCCATCGCAGACATCCCTGATTCCCTGCTCCGCCCGCTGAGCGCATGGACGTTCTTGGACGTCTCTAGCAGCCAGCTGAAACGGACGAAGAATGGCCGGTTGTGGAGACCGACCGATGAAGAGCCACGTCGGTCCACTACCACACTACCACTTCAAGCTMAGACCGATTCTCCAGCATGGTCAATGTAAGACAGCCAATGCGAACGACAGCGGAGAGTCTGGAAGGCACGAAAAAATGCTGGGACATGGGTGCAGAAGCCTGTGTTCCGAAGCAAGCGAACGCTGTCCGGGTTCGAGGAAAAAGGCCATGAACCCGATCGTTTGGCACCCGCAGGCCATTGCTTCGCTTCGCTTCGATGGATGGACGCTGTACATAGTGGAGTCTGTCAGTGACCTCACGCACCTGTCCTGTCCTGTCCTGTCCTGTTTCTTCTCCCGGCATCTACGGCGTAATAATGAGGCATCACATTCAAGCTGAATCTGACGCGTCCTGCATGAACCCGTCGATACAATTTGCAATTCAACGCGGCTGGCCACAGATCCTTGAATGGCACATGGATGGCCCACGAGACACGCCATCAGCTCCGCCTTAGAGCCGGACGAAAGCACGAAAACATCTCCCCGATCCCGCATTCGCGATCTGGGAATTTCCATCCCGCCGAATTTTTGGTTTACCTTACTCCATGGCGGCATGGCTAGAATTTGGTAGAATGCCGCTTACATCGAATGAGCAAATCTGGCAACTCCGGGACGATATACTCTTTCAAGATATGATCGGGTGTTAAAATGATGAGATCACACTACCAGCACCTTCCACCTTTGCGATCATGGTCTCCCGGGTCATTCGCCCTGCGCTGTGTTGCGACCAAACTTAGGCTCACCGGGTTACACACGGCGATGTCCCCACACCCGATACCAATTGTTGGAAACTCCAGACAATCGACAGTTTGATCGACGACCCATCATCTTGACAGAAAGCGGCTCACAGCAGCCAATGAATGCTGTAGTTGGCTGATCCTTAATGGAGATTGGATCAAGACCTCCAAGTATCAGAATATCAGGCGTTTCGTTTGTATTACTGAAAGACAGGTCGACGGGTGTGAGATTGGCAGCATGGCAGGCACGTGGTGTATCTCGCCTTGTGATACATCGTTTCTCGTGTTCGATCCAAATGAGTCCTACCAATTGTTTCTGTGTGCCAAGCTGAGCCGTAGATTGTACCTGTGGACGACCATGTGGTCTTGTCGGTGCGACACTCCATCATCCAGCAAGGGACGATGTGCAACAACAACAACAACCAACCAACCAACCAGGCGCTTTCACCAAGATAGCGATGGCGCTTGCAGAGCTCTTGAATTCATACAGGCCACGAATCTAGTCTTGTCGTGACATGATGCTAATTGCCATCGGGCTAGGTGTGTTCGACCCATCATCGATCGRGACACTTCTCTGTTGTAGACCGATGCTTTCCGTCCGGTCATATCTACCCGATCATCAGTGAGATGAAGTGTCATACGGAGGTCCGGCTCATTGTAATGGGACAATGCATATAAACGGTTCATGAATGCAAATGGCTGATTTGCAGACAATCTCCTCAGCTGACATCTAGCATAGAGTACTCAAGTTTCATCTAGTCCATCAATTCCTTTGTGATGTAGTCGGATTGTCAAGACGGCCAGGCCTAGCCTAAGTTCATGCTGGTGTCATGGCGACGACATTGGTCGGAATTCCTCGCCATAAATAGAGTTACAGGCGGTAGATACTACACACCGTCGTCTCAAGACCTGCAAGGCAAGGCCAGAAACCGAATTCAAAAAAAGTGGCAGGGCAAAGACGTTGGACTTTCTAATAAGTTGAGAATGTGCCATTGGATGTCTAGCAGGCAGGCCTTGACTCTCACTCCCTCGCCAAGGCAGTCCAGCCTCGAAGATCTCTACGGCGTCGGAGTGGCATAGAGTGACCTATGAAAAGGCAGAATGAACGCAATGGAGATCTCCCGTGTGCCTATCACATCACATACAGACGAAGTATAATCCACAGAAACCTTGAAAAAGCATGCTATTGACACTTGAGAGGGAGGAGGTGTAGTGCGAAGCTCCGCAGTTGGACATGGTGGAAGACTCCGGAGTAAAGGTATGCACACCCAAAGGCAGCTTCACCACTCACACGCACCGCAATCTAAAACACGTGCCAAAAATCCCCACCACCACGAACATTGGAACCTCCAGTTACTCCCCCTCGACCAATTCATTCCACAATTCTAGACTCTCCTATCCCATACCACGACTCTCCAAGCCCCAAGTCCACGAGTCTATGATACTGATCATCAAGCCCGGCCTCCATCAAAGAAAACCACGATTCGTCAAAATTCTCTTGCAAAGCCCTTAATAATAACCACAAGGTATACTCGATCTCCACACAATGTATAAAACAGCAAAATATCCCGGTGACATCGGCACTAGTCCAAAGCAAACAGCCACGAAAAATGTACGTCACGCACGGGAATGGCTGGGGGAGGAGGGAGAGGGAGGGGAGGGGGTGGGCGATCATCATGCTGCAAATGCAAGTCCATGACTTGCCGTGTACTTCAAAAAACTCAAAAACCATGTCATGGTTACCTTACCTCTGTTTTACAACTGAAAGGCACAGCACCGCACCTGCGCCGAGCGCAAAGAAAAAAAGTTTGGGTCCCAGATTCGAAAAGAATACCAAACTTGACCGTGCGGAAGACGCCTAGCCACAACATGTGAGTAATAACTTTGATAGGTTTATTGATGGAATTGCCGTTTCTTGCCGAAAGATCTAGAGCCCTACGGTACCGTGCTTCTGATACAACCCAACTATGGTACGCTCATGAACGACTCTCAGGTTTCAGAAGTACCATCAACTCATGACTTTCAGGTACCAAACTGTCACCAAATGACTACAGCGTCCACGCATAATGACATCTTCATCTTCACGCCCAGGCGGGGTCTCGCTGGACCCTGTTCTTACAGCTCCCGCAAGACCTCATGCGCCACTTGCGCATAGGTGCTCCAGAGGACGCCTTTCAGCACGCTCTCACCTTCATGCTCCGCCCACTGGCCTGCTTTGGTGAGCTTCTCTTTCCAGAAAGTCTTCTGATGCTCTTCAAGTTCGTGCCAATGCTTGGCTCCAGAGTCTTTCTGAAGATAGTCCTCCTTATCGGGATGCACATCAATGGCGACGCCATCAGCAGTCTCGCGTACCACGACCGCGGTAGCGTCGGCATCTTCAGGCGAGGCGTGGTGTTCTTCCAAAGCGTATCGTAGCGCTCCACCGCCGACAACAGCTGTAGGGATTGTCTCGTGTAGTGTCTTGGTGAGGGTCACTTGCTTGRCATCGAGTTGCTCACGCGCTCCGGGGGATACGAGACCGAGCGGTCCCATCGAGCCAGTGTACCCAGCAAAAGAAGCATAGAGCATTGCGGCTATCGTGACACAGAAGGAGATGACGAGAACGTATGCCCACCACCAGAAAGCCTCATCACGAGGATGGCTGAGGACGTAGCGGGAGTTCTTGTTGCTGGGCTCAAGCGGTGAAAGCGGGAAGGTATCAATTACGACTGTATTGGCATAGCTGACCGACGCGAGACGAGCGTATTGAGGTCCTGGATGTGCCGGTGCAGGTCGAGAGCCGGCCTTTTCGTCGCTTTCCGTGGTGGATTCGTCACCTAGATCTGGTGCCCGAGGCGGTGAATGGAATGGTGCCCAGCAAATCTTGGTCATCTGCTGAGCGTGGACATCATGAAGCGTAAGATAGCTGCGCAAACCTTTGAAAGTATCGGTGGCGTTCTGGTAGTTGATGGTGTAGACTTCGATACTGATGTCTTGTCCAGCCACGGCAATGGCAAACTGCTGGTTGCCGTTTTTGTCTGTGTCCAGAGCGCATACGTCAAGACATGACGCTTGCTTCATGCGGCGGGGGAGGTTCTGCTGCATAACCTCCATGGCCGGTCCGGTAGGATAGAGATGGAATATGCGAAGCTCGGCGCCGCCCTTGTTTGGCTTATTCGCCACAGCAATGACAGTATCCGAGTTTAGGAATCGTACACAGCGGAACTTGGAGCGGCTATTGGCCTTCTGAAAGCTCTCAGGCACTGGCATCTGATAGACGCGTCTTGGTCCCACGGGTCTCTTCTCGGCCTTTTTCGTACTGAAGTCGTATCGGATCGTCTGCTCGTAGATATTGTAGTCGTCACAGTAGGCGATGCTGAAGTCTGACTCTGGAGTGAGGGCAATGTCCAGGTCCGCAGCCTCTGCCCTTTCAGGCAGGGCGATTCTAGTGATGATGTCCCCAGGCGACGGCACCGCGACCGTGGCGTTGAACACAATCACCTCGGAATCTTTCGCAAGACCCGATGCGATGGCGCCAATTCGTTTCGCCGGCGAGCCTCGTTTCTGAGCGGGCGACAGACGAAGTAATCGTTGGTATGTCTCCTTCTTCGGTGCCGTGGACTTTGCGAACAAGGATCGTTTCGCGAGTAGCTTGATGTCTCCCAGATCCCCCTCTTCCACCTCCTCCGTCTTCTGCTTCTTACGAGGAGGGTATGGGATTTCAAAAGTTCGAAAGTGTTCATTGTTGCCTGCGTTCTGGTCGGCCTGGGAGGAGTTGATACCAGCGAAGGCGATGAGACCATCCTTGGTGGCCAAGTTTGCGATGGAGCTGACAGAATCTTCCGTATTTGACAGAGTGATTCGTGCAGCATCGGTGATGAGGGCGCGGTTGTTGACATCCAGGACGTGCTTGGATGTTATTAGCTGGAAGTGGGATGATGGAGATGCTACGGGCGTGAACGAACAATCTTGTTGGGGATTCCACTGCTGGTCTCTCCACCACCTCCCGCGACAACAAGATAGCCCCGGTTGTAGGGATCCCAATCGGCAGCGTAGATGGGAAACGGCAGCGTCTGCTTCGCGTAGGATACGCTCGATTTTGGAGCGATGRGCATGATGGGCGGTGATTGTGAACAGACGGGCGGGGAGAAGGAGGAGGAATTCAGGGGGGTTATATGTACAGTTTCTGCGAATGTCACGTAGTCGAGTAGCAATGCTGTGAAGAGGCCACTGAGGCGTGATGAAAGGACAGCCAGACGTGACGTGGGGGGAGCAGGCGCGCTAAATTCCCCGAGCTTCGACCACCGACAAAAGTTCAAAATTCTTCTTCCCTTCCAATTCTTCCCACYGTACTGCACTGCACATCTGATGTAGCTTCGGGACGTGTTACACATCATGACCGACAACATTGTGGTCGCTTTGAAGCCGGTCGCCAATGGCCCCGACGAAGACATCAGTGATGAGCAGATTGAGCAATTGCTCGCTCGCGCCACAACACGCCTGCAAGAAAAGTCCCAGGACGGCCAGCAGCTAACCCAGAGCACCACCCAGCACAACTTCCACTTTCCCCGACTAGACGCAGGTCAGCTCGAGAAGCCATACGTATCGACAAAAGGCGACGTCGCCACGGTCGATTCGTCCCGATTGCTGCAAGAAAAGCATCGCAAGCAGGCCAACGGAATCAGAAAGGTCGAGGACCCGGTCATCCGTCGCATCACCGCCGCAGAGGTATGTTGAGCCCCCACCCACCCATTCCCACCTACAATGAGGAAAATTATCCCATTTTCTATCTTGAGCAGAGTCCGGGCACCGTTTTGGCTGCCTTTCTGCACTACTGAGAGCTTTATTTTCATAGTTACTCTGAGTTTTCACACAACCACCACGCTTGTTATTGATGTATTTTGTTGAATCACGCTGACAAGCTTACAGCAGAAAAAGGCCACTGCCGGCGACAAGTGGTACAATCTACCAAAGACCGATCTGACACCCGAGTTGAAGCGCGATTTGCAGCTCATCAAGATGCGTGGCGTGCTTGATCCCCATCGTCATTACAAGAAAGATGGYGGCAAAATGGCGGCACCAGAGTATAGTCAGGTGGGCACCATCATTGAGGGACCGACAGAATTCTTCACCGGCCGCCTTGAGAACAAACAGCGGAAGCGCACGTTTGTTGAGGAGGTACTGGCGAATGAGAGGGAGAATGGCCGATTCAAGAAGAAATACGGCGATGTGCAGAACAAGAAGACCAGTGGAAAGAAAGGTTTCTACAAGTCGCTGCAAGAGAAGAGGAAGGGTGGTGTCAAGAAGGGTGGTTCTGGTTGAAGCTGCCTGACTATGTCTACCCAACCCATCCTCACAGCTGGGATACGATGCGGAGCACCAGACTCTGCATGTCCAATGCTGCTGCTTTGCCGGCGTCCAGGACCTCTTCATGGTTCGCTTTGCCTCGACTCAGGTGCTGATCGAGCTGCTCTCTCGACAGACCTTGCAAGGCTGGATCGTCTGCTCGTGTCGTTGGCTCCAACACCGCATTGTTGGTGACCAAGCTGAAAGCCAGTACCCGCATACCGGCATGTCTGGCAACGATAATCTCCGGCACTGTGGACATGCCAACTACATCGGCGCCTAGATTTCTCAGCATCCGGCACTCCGCCCTGGTCTCGTAGGTGGGTCCGGACACGAAAGCATACACTCCCTCGTGAAGTCTTCTTCCACTGGGGTCTTGCTGCCGAATCTCCTTCCACGCCTTGTGCGCGAGCTGGCGTAGGGAAATATCATATGCATCGGAGAGAGGTGGAAATCTCACACCGAAATCATCATCATTTGGTCCTCGTAGCGGTGACTGTCCTACCATGCCGGCAAGGTTGAGATGGTCATTGAGCGCCACAATGTCACCTACGCCGTAGTCCGGGTTCAATCCACCCGCAGCGTTGGTCAGAATGATAGTCTCCACTCCGAGAAGCTTGCACACGCGGGTGGCAAATGTCGTAGCCTCCATCGAGTGACCTTCGTAGAAACTAGGAATGAAAATAAGCTTCTTGTATACATCTACCTACCCATTCTACTAACTGTGCACGGCCTACGAGCAACACGACGGGAATTTCGTTCCCTTGGGATCCCATGGTGCCGAATATCAATTTACCAGCATGGCCCGCCACTGGAATGAAATTATCCATTAGCATCTTCTCATCGTTTCCCTGTCATATGAGTTGTGAAAAAAACTTGGACGAGAAAAACTGACCTGTCGAGATGGGGAAATTCGGCACATCCTTGTACTCCCAAACTTCCCTCAATCCAGGATTGACCGTCTCGGCGAGTCCACCCAGACCACTTCCACAAACGACGGCAACGCGAGGTTTGGCCAGGGATTCTGGGAGTTTGAGGCGGAGAAAGTCGACCGTTTCCGCGGCTTTGGAGTAGGGTTTGTCTGCCATTTCGTCGTGGACGTCGTGCAGGCTGTGTTGGAGATGGGTGTATGAGTGGTAGAGGGAGGAGATGTGATGGATTGTTGATAGCATTTGAATGGAAGGGAGGGAGGGGCGCGCTGTTTTTCCTGCTCGTGATGGTGGATCGTGATGTGGTCCGGTGGTTTTGGTTGTGAGGGAGATTGGCGGCGAGCTCCGATTTGGTTCGCTTGGCGCTTTTTGGGGGGAGCGACTTCACTTGGATGCATGAGCTGAGTAGCGGCGCAGTATTCGCCCTTTTGACGGTGAAGTTGCGTAACAAGTCATGATGATGAGTGCTTACAAAGTATGAACGAATTTCCGCCTCGGCGGCCTGATTTTGTCTATCCTGGTGCCGCACTGAATGGACCGCGCGAGATCAGAATATTGGAGATTCAAGACGGAAGCTGGGATGAGGAAATCAAATGTGTTCTCTCTATCCAGACATTGTATGCGAGTCCCGACTTCGACATACCTCTCACGTACACCGCGCTGTCTTATACCTGGGCAACATGGGCAAACCACAAGACCATCTCGCTGAATGGCCAGAGTGGCTTCCCCGTCACGGCCAACCTCTGGAATGCCCTTCGAGAATTTCGCGCTGGAAAATCCCCTTTGATTGGGAAGATGTGGATTGATCAGATTTGTATCGATCAGCAAACGTCGGAGCGAAACGATCACGTGAAAATCATGGGTGAGATTTATCAGCAAGCTTCGCGGGTTCTCGTTTGGCTGGGAGTCGGCACAAATGATGGACGAAGTGGAGAAAGCAAGTCTGATACGAAGAAGAACACTGAGTATCTTCTACGTGCTGTTACTCAGACTAGCCCACCTTGGTACGAACGACACATACTTGCGTTCATGCAGAGTCTACTGACAACACAGGTGGACACGAGCATGGGTGGTCCAGGAGTTCGTGATGGCCCGTCAAGAACCACTCGTAGCATTCGGCCCTGCCATCGTGGAGTGGGATGAACTCTGGGAGCTCATCTCAAAACTTCCCAGGACTCCCCACCAGGACTTACATGTCTTTGCCAGATTCGTTCGAAAGCTCACAAGTCTTCGATATGCGAAACGGCGGAGTGTTAGTCTGACCAGTCTCGGATGGCTCTCCCGCTTGACGGCATCTCTAGATCCCAAAGATAAAGTGTACAGCATGCTCAATCTCATCTCTGATGAAGAGCGAGCTGGGATTACAGTTGACTATGCGAGGAGCATTCGTCATGTATATGCAGAGGCGACCTACGCTGCAATCTGTGCAAGCGAACGACTTGAGATTCTGAGCTTGGTCACAACGCCATGTGCTGGTCAAGACTTGAACCTTCCCTCGTGGACAGTGGACTTCACATTCGCATCGTCTAATCAGAGAGCTCCATCATGGACGCAGCCTCGCAATCGCTCGAGCGTTCTTGATGAATTCTCGGATGGGAGTAGGATGGCGTCGGACATGTATGAGTTTCGCAGACTGTTCAATGCCGTGCCATCGTTTTGGTTCATGCAACGGGAGGTGACCACGAAGGATACCTGTATCGCGAACATCGAGGCTGGAACTCTCACGTTGAGCGGATACAAGTTTGACCGGATCGATACAGCTCATCGCCTTGCGAGGCCCAAGAAATTCTTCTCGCTTGCTACCTTATTAAGCGTTCAACGCTTATGGAGACTTTCTTGTAACCTGGCAGGCAAGTTCCAACGACGATTCAAACCATTACCACCTTTAGAACAGATCGATCTGCTCCGTTCAGATGAACGCACTTTCTGCAAGGAAATCCTAGATACGCCCGATCCCTACACCAGACTTCACCCAGAAGCCTCCCAACCTCCCTCCCCCTCAAAAGTCAAAAACCACGCTTTCTCCCTGGACGAGAAGACCGCTTTCCTACTCATCCGCTGCTGGACCGAGAAACATGGAAGACAGACCGAATTGCCAGCTTACAGAAAAACTCTCTACGCTCTCGATCTCTGGAAGACATATTTTGAATTCCAGGCCGCGAATCCCAATACTGAAAAGACACTTTTCGTTACTGAAGGTGGGTTTTTGGGATATGGTCCTAGCCATGTGCGATCTGGAGATATTGTGGTGCTTCCGAATGGTAGTGCTGTTCCGATTCTATTGCGGCCTACTGGGGATGGGGAGTGGAGGTTTTTGGGTTTTGTGTATGTTACGGGCATTATGAAGGGTGAGCTTGCTGGGTTGTTGGAGGTGGGGGAGGGATTAGTGGAGAGGGAGTTTGTGCTGGTGTGAGGATTCGCAGAGCTGTCCGTGGGAGGAATCTTTGACAGATTCGAGATTCTTGGAAGATTTTGGTACTGGTACTAGGACTGCTTCCTCGATACCGTCTCTGTGTTCGGAGGAAAGTCGTGGAAACTTCTCTATTGGTAGAGTCCATCGCCAGACTACTAGGAGACCTTGCTTGGAAGCCGGATCTCGTTGAAGGAATGTCATACCAACGCCTCCAAACATCTATGGATCGAGACAAGGCAACTTGAAACGGCTTCAAGCGACCGCCGTCATGATGGTAACCAGGATGGGGACCCGAGCGTGACTTGGTCCGAAGGTAGACCGTGTAGAGGGCCGGGGATAATCTGCTTTTGAGTCAACTACAATATTGCTACACGACACCAAGCAGGGAACAATACGGACACTCGTACAACAACGAACGAGATGTTGAATGGGCCATATCTGGAGGGGGAATGACATGCATCCTTAAAAATAAACCTTGAGGCGCTCGTGGCTCACGATACTGCATACTTCAGAAAGGGATGATGAGGTAGGTAGTCGCCCATTAAAATAAAGGATATTGAGCGAGCTGTGCTCAAGTATTTGGCCCTTACGGCTAGTACGTATTTGGCATAGCTATTCGTGTTATTTATTAAAGAGGTATATATTAGCATTTAAGTTAGATATTTAGCCTACGTATTACTATTTATATTATACTATTCTTATTATATAAGTAGTCTAGACCTTATAGTATTATAGTATTACTAATAGATCCTAGTCTTTAACGTTTAAATCTTAGAACTTAGCCTAGAGTACGCCTACTAATACCTCTAATTAATATATTCCCTAGACTATAGTAGGAAGTGCTTAGTAAGATAGTACGCTAGTAATTCTTTAATAAGGTTTTATTCTTAGAATTTAGCCTTAAAAGAAGCCTAATACTACTTATTAATATACTCTATAGTAATAAGTAGTTATATAAGGCCCACCGCCTTATAGCATTACTAAATAGTCCAGAATAGGTTAGACTATTCACCCTAACCCCACCTTTTATATACCTGTCCTAGGCTAAACCGGATACGCGCGGAAGGAATTATAGTAGATAGAGGAAAGGCTATACGCCTCCTAACTAGCTCTGTATTAATTCGAGTCGTCT